TCTTTACGTAACTGAGGTGGCAAAAAAAAAAAAAAACCTAGGAAGCGCAATATAAGCACTACTCTTTCTCTAAAACTGCGCTAGCTATTCATAAAGAATGCTTCTGATTATCAAGATACGTGCGATGTTAGGAGTACATATATGAAATTTATTATGGGTTAAAAGATATTAAATAGATACTCAAATTGAAGATTAGATATAATCGTATTACTAATACTAATACTTATAATTATACTAATAGTAATACTAATACTAATACAAAAAATATCACTAATACTAAGACTAAGTCCAAGTCTAAGTCTGAGACTACTAAGACTAACAGTGACAGCAAAACTAACACTACTGCTAACACTAACACGAACATTAACACGAACATTAACACTAACATTAATACTTACACTCATGCTGACATTGACACTAAAACTAACACTTACATTGAATCTGATACTGATACTGATACTGATACTAATATTGAGACTGATGTTGAGACTGAAGCTAATACCGATACTTAGACTAATAGTGATACTAAAACTAATACTGATACTGATACTGATACTGATACTGACACTGACACTGACACTGACACTGACACTGACACTGACACTGACACTGACACTGATACTAACACTGATACTAATACTAATACTAATACTAATACTAATACTAATACTAATACTAATACTAATACTAATACTAATACTTATACTAATACTAATACTAATACTTATACTAATACTAATACTAATACTAATACTAATACTAATACTAATACTAATACTAATACTAATACTAATACTAATACTAATACTAATACTAATACTAATACTAATACTACTGATACTGATACTGATATTGATACTGGTACTGATACTCATACTGATACTGATACTCATACTGAATCAATGTTTTAAAAAATAATAAGGCAAATTTCATAATTTTAGTTGTACTTTTATATAGATTTAAATTGTCAAATGAATTTTTTTTCTCTTTCCAACTCAATTTCGAAGCTATAAATTCCAAACATAAATCTCGTTGACTTGAAACTTATATTTTCTCAAAAAAAAATCACCTTACAAAACTTTTATCACCAAATTATTTATCTTCTATTGAACCGTATCAAAAGAAATTGGTAGTGTTTGTTTTATATGAGAAATTATACTATTTAACTTATCTTGTGATTAAATGGTTGAATGGTAGATATACATTAAATATTTAATTTATTCTTTTTATCATGAAAACAAATAATACTGAAAATATAAAAAGAACTCAATTAGGATTAAGTCATGTTAATAAATATATATATATAAATATATATATATATATATATATATATATATATATATATATATATATATATATATATATATATATATATATATATATATATATATATATATATATATATATATATATATATATATATATATATATATATATATATATATATATATATATATATATATATATATATATATATATATATATAAACTATATTGAATCTAAAATATTAATGTTTACAAACTTATATTCAAAATTAGTATTCTAATAATCATGCATACTCCTAGAATTAAATCCGAATTCAAAACTTTTGAAAAAAATGTAATATATGTGATGTAAAAACTAAATTCTAAATCCCAAGAAAAAAAAAAACATTATTCTGATCCATATATTAAAAAAAAACTTCATCAAACAAAACCTATAAAAACTAACTACGGTCAAAGTACAAAGTTTGGCATATGAGGTATATTTTAATTGAACTATAAACACACCTTAATTAATTACTTATATGCTTGTTTTGTAAAATATAATGAAAATTAATATTAATATACATTTTAATATTTTTTATTTAATGAGATTTTAGAACATCCTCAAATTTGAGATTCGAGTTCACAATCTCAACAAATCCATAATTGAGGCCTACTTCATAAAAATCATTCTCGTAATATTGCACGTCGATTTCTTTTCATTGGAATAGCAAACCATTTTTTTATGGAAAAATATAATTTTTCCAAAATGTTTTTTAATGATCCAAAAATGTCCTCGTTGGACTGGCATCTTATGTGTTTTTTCCTTCTCTGATCAATGTAGATCTTTTGCTATATAATTTATATATTTCTCTAGTTAGTGTAGATTTTTCTGTAAAAGCAGGACTTCTAATATGCTTGCAAACATAATTATTCCTATTCGACTTTGAAAAGTTGTAGTTTTTATAAATAAATTATTATAGTAATATAAGATGAATAAACAAAACATACAAAATCAAACATTGTCACAAATACATCCAGGCACAATGTTGCTAATATGCCATAATATTGGAATTACAATGAACGGAGAAGGGTGAATCTGATGTCATGTACATAAAGATTCAAAAGATTAATAGCAAAACATTATTATGAACGTAAAAATTAATAATATTGTACGTAAATATTAAAAAAATGGATAAAAATCAAAGGTTTATTAGATACGTTCAAATTAATATTGTAACATGAAAATATAAAAACTAAAGAAAATTTATTTAAATATATTCAACAAATCATATAAGGATATATTCATACAAATCACAAAATACATACATGAGTTACTTTGGTATTTTTTTTTATTACATTATCACCGTCATTAAACTCAACTTCTTCTTCGTAGAAACCAAACTTACAACTATCGAAAGTATAATCAAAGATTGAAAAACATAAATAATTTTTTTTAAAATCCATCCATACAATATAAACCGTATATTCCATTCTACACAACGCTGCAAGACATCTTTCTTCCCGACATCGCCGCATATAACACACACAATGTTTTCCATGGATCTGAAAATTAAAAGGAAACCAAAACAATGATTCGTTAGATTGTTATACATACGCATACATAATAAATGTATAACGTACTAAACATTTGACGATAAATAAAATACCTCAAAGCGAGCACATCGCACAATACTAATTGCATTAAGAAATTACAGAACAAAAATATGAAGAAAAAAAAAAAGTTTTAAGGTAAGAACCTTTGTTTAGCGTAATTATAACAAAATGTGTGGATAAAGAATGAGATAAATGGGTGGTTTGGGTTGAGGGTATTTATTTTTAGTTTCACATACTAAATAAGTTAATAAAATAACTTGAAGGAAACAATATATTTTTATTATTTTTGGTGTTAATGGGTTAGACCAAATCAAACAAATTCAAAAAATTTGAATTAATAAGAATCCGAAATTATTGAGATGCGTAATAAATAAATGCGATTTTTAGGGATACTAAAAAATTAAGATTCATATCACATGTTGTTAAGTAAAGGAGGAGGGTGTCTCCAGGTCAACCCCGGCCTAGTTCACGTGTTATTGGTTCGCAGGTATCTCAGGACCATCTAGAACGTGAGCAATGATCCACTTTGCTCTCCCAACTCCCTCTAACTCAACCTTTTAAGGTGATCTAATATTAGCATCATCAGTAATGTATTAAAAAAAATCAGAAATGATATAACCAAGTAAACATAAAAAAAATAACCAAACAATCGACTCAATTAATCAATTACCTACTAAAAATTGGCTAATCGATATAACCAAGTCAAAATTAAAGATATGAAAGCATGGTTTTTGAAATATTACCACGTTTACGTGTTTGTTAGATACAAAATATTATGCTCATAACTTATTTAGCATAATACACAGATTGATTGGATACAATAATAAATAGAAACTTAAATAAAATTAGTTTGTATATAACAAAAGGCAACAAATCAAATCAAGTGATTAATCATATTCTTAAAATCAATACTTTTAATAAGAATATTAAACAAATCAAATCAAATTATTATTTTATTTTAATGTAAGACATCATTAACACTTTGATAAAAAAATTTATATAGTTTAAGTTTATATACAAATAATTATTATAAAAACTTATGTTACAACATTAACGAAATTAAAATATAAAAAAAAAACATCATAATGAAATATGCGAGGAAAACTAAATAAAGAAATTAATTTAAGTAATAAAAAGATATTAAATAATTAATTCATAAATAAATGTAATAAAAAAAATCTAGTTAATAATGCATTTTATTAACTAAATAACTCAATAAATACTTAATGGAATAATATTGAAGGGATAATTGGCTAGAACATCCTTTCCCCCAACTTTTATAGATGGGTGGGTGTCCAATCTATTAGATAACTATAGTTATAGGTCCCTTGACCAAAAAATAATATAAATTAAATACAATGATAAGTAAATATACATAAATACCCCAAACAATGTATTGTTTTATTTTTGGAAATAAGAGAGCAAATCTTTCATATTAAATGACGTGATTCATTACTTATATAAAAAAAAAGTGACGTGACTGGTGAGAAAAGTTTTGAGAGTGGAGGGAGAAGAAGGTGAGCAGCGTATGGGCAACATTATTGGAATAAAAAACAGAAGAAGATTACTATGAAAATTACGAGGAAATGGTTAGACGCTATGGTTGTTACCCCAAACTGATATCATACCTTAACGATACTTGGCTAAGATACAAGCAAAAAATCGTCAAAGCATGGACTAATAAGATTTTGCATTTTGGGAACACGTCGACTATTCGGTATTTTCGGCCTGTATTTTATATTATATTGGTGGTTTTTTTAGTTATTAGTTGTTATTTTAATGGCTATCAACATGGTGGAAAGTGCTCACAATTCGTCGAACGGTTGGATTAGTGCTTCTACCGGCGTTGTGAACACCATTCAATATCAGCTTGATTCCGGGGTCGAGTATCAACTTACCAAGATCAGGGGTGAGTTTTCAAATTGCAGCTTAACCAGGAAGCATAAAGCATCGTATCCGGTATTTTAGGGTTTGATATGCAAAGTCACACATGATGCATTAAATTTGCTTGATGATGAGCTCGGTAAACCGGGGGTAGAAGACCCATCTACTTGCGATCACGTTCTGTGGGTTACTCATGGACTTCAATATGCGTGCCAAATTTCGTTGAAAATCCAGCAACGTGATACGTTTATAACTATGGATCTACATTCATTTTGGAATACCATGCATGTTGAAGAACCAAAAATACCCGAAGCACAGGTAGACTGCGAAGCAGATATGAGAAACCGGATAATCAGACTAGCCACCGAAGTGTTACGAAAAGATTACATGACTCCAAAAGCTGATTACATGAATAGCACTATTAATCCATACACCATCCACTTGGCTGAGCCTGCATATGTTAAACCGAAGGGATGGCCAAAGGATAAACCGACGAAGAGAGATAAATCCGGTTGGGAGTACCAACCATTCCCACCGAAGTCGTCTACTGATGAAGAAAAGGGTAAATCCTCTGCAGGTCCTAAGGGTCGAAAAAGTACGTCTACCGGAACCCCACCACTGAAAGTAACTGATCCAGCTCCCGGTCGCGGACGGGGGCAGGGTCGGGGCAGTGGTAGATTAAGTGATGAATCTACTGCCAATCAGAATCCTATGCCGAGGCCTCGAAAGGAATCGAGAGAGGAGCTCAATTTCAGATCGTACATCTCATGTTTTGTGGCAGGATCTATTGTGTGGTATATTAATGTTGTCGTAGATGGAAATTGTGGGTACAGACGTGTTGCAGAAGCAGTGTTCCGAGATCTGCACAGATGGAGTCGTGTGAGGAGAGATTTAATTGCTGATATGTACGAGCGATTTGGTACGTACACATCGCAAAATGGTCAAGATGAAGTCATCCGATGGATTGCAAGATGTGATTGGCAAGAAGGACTGTGTGGTCAGGACAAATGGATGTCATTTCCGGATATGGGAATTTCGATATCGACAAAATACAATGCGACTTTGGTCTTATACTCCGTCGGCGGAACTACGACCTACTTACCTCTAGTAGGTCCGGGTGAATTGTCTCATATGATCCATATGGTATTGCTAGGAAACCATTTTTCCCTTATCCAGTTACCGGTTAATTGTCCTATACCACCCATCACTCCATAGTGGCGACCTATTAGTGTTGGGTTTCGGGCACGCATACGCAGCGGAAAACAAAAATTTATGTGATTTAAACGACTTTAAAACACACATAGAACATGCCCGACAAATTAAATCAATTAATTGCGTACCTTTGCGCTTCCAGCGAAATTAAAAACAACATACATGCTAAATAATTTAACCGAATTTAAATCAATTAACATGCTCGCGTTTAAACCAATTATCATGCTTGCAAAGATTAAAACGATTACATATAATCACACAAAATCATACGATAGCAAACATGAAATCATAGTTTAAACATAAACGAATCGAAACTAGGGTTTCGTGTATTTACCTCTTGAAGCGTGAGGTAGGAGCGTTTAGCAAGTCGAGATTGCTACGGAAACCAATCCGTACAATCGGGGCAGCAGCGGTGCAGCGGCAGCAGCAGCATATCGGCCCACGGCGGCGCGTGAGGTACACGCGCGGTCTTCCGGGGCGGCGCGTGGGGCAGCGTGCGGCTTCGGCTTGTGCGTTGCTCCTCGATTCTTGGATCTACAGTCTTCCTCCTCTCGGATTTCACCTCGTATACTTCGATCTACTAAACACGTGGCACTAGACACGTAATAGTTAGAAAAACGGAAGAAAAAGAGAAGGAAAAACAATACCGAAACAATCGGCCAATGAATGGCCGATTCCGGTGAAGCTCCGGCGACGGCGGCGCGGTGGCCGAGGAGAGAGGGCCGAGAGAGAGAGGGTACGAGCGGCTAGGGTTAGGGTTGTGTTGTATCTGTTGTGCAAGACCTATAAATCAAGTATTCATATGTCTTGCATAAAACCCTAGCGGGCTTAAGTTGGACCGGACCCAACAGCTTAAGTCCGATAGTATCTTTACTTGCTCGTCTCTCTTAATTCAATGACCGAAAAATTGCAACGATTACATTTTCGGATTCATTATAACTTCCTCGTCATTACGAGTGCCATCTCTCATTTTCCAACTTTCCAAAAGTGGAAACCCTAGTTCAGTGCACTTTCTAAATTTGGAAACTTCCCGATTTAGAAAGTTCACTAATACGTTCGCCTATTCTTTTCCTTTTCTTATTCTCATTCATAATTCCAAATTACGAATGTTGGACTCAATCATATTGACTTCCAATCATGCAAAGATAAACTATTTTATCTCTGACCGTTTATTCAAAGATCTCATGTGCACGAGCAGTGTGACCCTCGATGGTTCAGGTGTAAGCTAGCCGTGGGCCCACAACCCTTTGTGGTCAAAACTCGTCCCCTTCGAGTTACGATTAAGATGAAGCTCGTTTCACCTTAATCACCCAACGAATCAAGATTGGCGTCTAGCAACTACGCGTCATGATTCCCTAGATACAAATGAAGTGCCTGCAAGAACCTTCAGATATAGTTAACGTACAGTACGGTCCCTTTGATACATATGTCCCGATCGAACTAGAGGCATTGGTTCATCGAGACCTCTTTATCTGTTCGATGACGGTGCGATCGTTCTAAGTGTTGTAATCCTTACGTGCATGACTTAGAGAATCGAATTCTCTAATCATCACTTAGTCAGCTCTGGCCAGAGACTTAGAATGATTACAAACTATCAGAACACACAGGACATCCAAGACTATTCTAGCGATCGAATCCCCGACTACAATGCACAGACCTCCCACTAGATTTCGGACTGCACGAACACTGGCCCTTGGGATGGTCCTCGGTGGAACTCAGGGACAGGTCACGATACAGTTGGTCCTCTAGTGAAGTCACGGTGATGTCTAGGTCATAAGGACTAATGGTGTACAACTATACCATAGATATCTCTACTCGATTATTGGGAACCACTTAGAGATTTCTAGGGTGAGGGAGTTCAGTGAACTCGTCAACTTACGAGCACCCACTTATGCATGCCGATATCACAATATCGTTTACTGATGAGATGCAGTACACATACACTAAGTGCTAGTCTTAATGGGAAAGGTCGATATCCTCATTAGTGGCGTAACCCTTCGACTAGGAACACGTTTAACAGTTATAATACTTAAGTAAATATCTCACGATCCTAACGATCAATTACTAGTACTTGTAATAACTGTAAGGACTATATCTATGCTTGTGACAAAGGGACAAAGATATAGAATGCCAAGGTGTTTTATCATTAATACGAATAAAGGTTCGTTTATTACAATAATAAATACGAAAGACCACAGCCACAAGTTGGCTTGTTGGTCACCTACTCTAACAATTAGACCCAAAAATCTTGCCCACTTGTCGGAAATGTTCGAAGAACGCCTATATATGTGGCGTCGTTTATCTAGGTTGGGATAGGATTTTTAACTTTATTTGTATTTTATTTTAGTTGGTATGTATTTGAATAATAGTATTTTATTTTATCACGATCCTAACGATCAATTACTAGTATTTTATTTTATTACTCGCAACTTAAATAAATAATAGAATTAAAAATCAAACCAAAACATCAATAATAGTCAAACAAACAATAAAAGTGTACCAACACATAAGATTTTCAGAAAATAATACTCTAAAAGTAGCGAACCGGAACCCGAAAAATAACAAAAAACAGTAAAAGTAAATAATAGCGAGTCCAAATAACAGATAAAATGTCAATGTAACGGACCAACGGTCTACTGTCTACCCCTAGACCTCCTCGGGGTGCCACTCATCCCACCAAGTCGCCGACGCGGTGGTGGCATCTCCATAATGTCGTCGTCGTTGGAATCTCCAGTCTGAGGTGGTGGTAAACCAAGAAAACGGGCGTGCGGCTCCACACGGGGCTGTAACTGCACACATAGATGCTCGGGTATCTCGTGCATGTACGGGTGGATGATACGCACAATACATGGAAATCCGTCCTAGTAGGAGGCGGGCGTACGACGGGTGGTGGTCCCTGTGGCGCTGGATCCCTGTTGATGACGTACAGATGCGTGCGAGGCACGTACCAGTCCATGTACCGAGAAGCAGTATCCGACAGCGGCCAGGCTAATGTCCTACCCTCCATTGTAATCGAGCTGCCAGTAAGGTTCATCAACTCCTCGCCTGAATGTAGCACTATGGTATGGTCTATCTAAAGCCGAACTCCCGTAGGACGCGATCCGGCAAATATGGCTCGATAATCTCCATAAACTGTATACATCCGTAATACAGTGTAAGCGGAACGCGTCTATGCACGTGCGGGGACCGTAAGGCATCCAGTCAATCTGGTACAATTAGATTTACGTAATAAAAATTAGATTTTACGTGATAATAAATACGAAATACATCAACGGAACAATAAATAAATAAATTCAACAATTAAAATACGTACCTGATTGGCCTGCATATCATCGAGCATTCTTCAGACAGAGAACAAGACCGAAATACCCTTGTGTGGTTCCATTTCAGGAAACGAGGCTGCATCTCCCTATAATTCGGATTAATAGGTGCTCGGAAAGGGCGGAAGTACTCATAAATCTAGCACTATAAATAAACGAGAATATATTAGATTATATTATATTAGTACCTAAGTTATACTAATTAATACTACATTATTAACATGATATATTAAAATATATTATATTATTATAATGTATTAAATGAAAATTATATTACACTAGATTATATTATATTAGTACCTAAGTTATATTAATTAATACTACATTATTAACATAATATATTAAAAAATATTATATTATTACAATATAATAAATTAAAATTATATTACACTAGAATACCTGGAGCAGTTACGTGCAACCCTGTAACCACTTTACGTGGGCCCTACTAGCCAAGCCCAACTGACGCCAAGACAGCTGCACCTCAAGCATACTCGCCACGTTGACTTGAATATGTCTATACTCCGGTCGGGGAACAAAGCCATACCGATCACAAACGTCAAAAATCCTACCACCTTCTGTCGACAAGACCGGGACCGATTGCGCACACGCTCAACAAACTCCGACCATTTTATCCCACTATTGCCAAGCTTGGCATGCGCGTCGGCTAAGTCCAAATAAAGAACCTCTGCTAGCAACAACTCACACATAGGCCTCTCCTCGGCAAAATCACCGTAGACTGATAGACTGTTGACACGCAACCCCAATATAAACACAACATAATGCAGGGTGATCGCCATCTCACCCCAAGGCAGGTGGAAACTGTTCGTCTCCGGCTACCACCTCTCTATAAATGCCTACATGAGTCCATTGTCCACATTTTTCATGTAGAAGTGCACGAGTGAGTCCAGGCCAGATGCCTCCAGTAGCTCTAACTCATCCTGCCCGTAAGGAGCCATGAGTTTCTTCAGCTCATCCTTCTTAAAAGCATTTAGCGCGGTAATCTTAGACTCAGATCGTCCGACGGTGCTCTCTTGTAGAATTTCTAATTTGATTAGAAAATGTACATTATTAGAAAAATAAATAAAATATATAAAAATAAATATACAAAAACTTACATGTCCTGCTAAATGTAGTAGGCAATATGACTCTTGATAGAATCATCCTCCAATCAGCCCGTCCTCCTGGAGCCAGACCATGTAACACAATTCTACCACTTAAAGTATCGAACACGTACCAAGACTTGCGTGCGCGCGGAGCCCGGACGGAAACATCATCAAAATCGCTCGCCACAGGGTCCTGCTCCTCGTCGTGTTCCTTGTAGGGGATACTTGAATCTTTCCATAAAGATCGAATGCTACCCGTCGTAGATCTCAAACTCCGGTCTATGTGGGGTATCTCGTCCACGATGGGTAAATCATCAGTGCCCCGCTCAATAACTCTCCTACGCCGATGAGATGCAATCATACGAATGGGCTCGACTTTCGCCGCGTCTTGATTTAATATAAAAAAAAAATTAAACTTGAAGCTCCTGTTCTGCAGAATACGGGAACTTGAAGATTTTTAAAGTTCCCGTGTTCTGCAGAACGGGAGTTTCAAGATCGTTCTGCAGAGCACGGGAACGTGAATATCCTTCAAGTTCCCGTGGGATATTGAAAATTTACCGAAATCGAGGCTCGTTTGTTT